TATTGGGCGGCGGCGGCAGCAGGGTAGTGGGGGGTAGCGCGGGAGGGGGTTTGCCGATCGCGGAGTTGACCATCATCTATGTAGCTTTGATGTGTGGCAAGATGAGGTGAGGAAGAGCGAGGGCTTGCGAGATGGAACTGCTGCCCCCTTCTCTCCCCCCCTTGCGTCCGGCATTCGTTTAGGCCATGGGCGCGATAAAGATGCCTCCGATGAGGCCGGCGACGACCGAGGCAACCGAGCTGTAGAGGGCGAGGGAGTGGGCGGTGGAGTGTTCGAGATCCTGGTAGATGGCATGCGAGTAGACGAGAAGCGAGAGCATGGCGGCGATGGGGATGACGACCCAGGCGCCTGCCGTACCGACGCCTGTGTTCTTGTTCCACTGCAGAATGGTGCCGATAAAGAGACCCATCGAGCCGGCAAACGCGGCAATGAGGACCGAGGTGGCGTAGCCGTCGCGGACCAGGATGCCGATGCCGAGAGCAGCCACAAGGGTGATGAGTGGGAGGAGGACGACGGCTGCGCCGATGGCGGCGTACATCGTCTCGGTCCAAGTCATCGGCGGTGGCTTGCGGCTGCCTCCCGCCCGCGGTGCCTGCGGCGTCGATCCGGCAGGCTGCGGTTGTCCAGTGGCGCCTGTCTCTCCTCCGGCCGGTCCGCTCGCCTTCTTGCCTCCGGCCTTGCCCGTCTTGCTCCTTGCTGTCCGCTTCCGTCTGGCCATGGCAATTACAAGCGTGTGTAAACTGTACTGCGTGTGTGTGTGTGGAGAGGGATAGAGGGAGAGATAGAGTAGTGGGAGTGCGAGTGGGTGCGAACTGTTGTTGGCTTGCTGGTGCTGGTGCTGGGGGTCAGCTGCGAGTGGTGGTGGTGGGGGGGGGGGTTGAGGGAAGGGGGGTGGCCTGCCGCAGCCAAGCAAGGCGCAGACAGGGTGATGACAGCAGCTATCGGCATGCGTACCATGCCATGTGATGGTTAATATAATATTTTCTGTTGGTCCACCATACTGGACTTTGTCCATGGCGATATGGCCAGATCGGTCAGGCTGGACTGACCAGGGGGTGGGGGAGGTGGGGAGGGCTGCTCCCGAGACCCACGCGGTGATCGATCAGGTTGGGCGAGGTGGGCATGGGCACGAGGAGAAGGGGGGGGGGGGAAAGGGAAAGGGTATGGGTAGACAGCTCTCGACGAGGTTGATAAGAACAAAGATATGGATTTTCTCAAGGGTCTTGCTGATGCGGATGGCGACGGAAGTGTCGGGTTCGATGACATGATGCGTAGGTTGGGTGGGGTGGCCGTGGGAAGAAGGGGGGGGAGGAGAGTGGGGAGCGGAGGCGGGAGCGGGGAAGCGGGGGGGAGGGGGAGGGGTGGAGCGGGGTGTGTGTTGTGGGGAAAGGGTAGGGGAAGTGTTGGCTGCGGTAGTGATGGTGGCCATAGCTGTGTTGCCACTCTCTATCTCTTTTCTCTCTGTGTGTGCGGTGTGCAGGAGGTGGCGTGACTTGGCGCGGACAGGCGTGGTGTGGTGCAGTCAGGCGTGAAGATGCACGGTAGGGCGTGGAGCGTGGTGGAGCTGGACAAAGCTGAGAAAGATGTTTGACTGACGAGAGGCGGCGGACGGGGAGGGGGAGTAGATCACGCCGAGGCCGGGGCGGACGAGGTGGAGGAGCGGATTCGGGCGGCTGTGGCCAAGGTCAGGGCCGAGCTGGAGAGCAAGATGTCGGGCCTGCGCGACATGGCGGAGCGGGCCAAGGCAAAGATGGCCGAGGCTGTGGCCAAGAAAAATGAGCTGATGGCGCGGCTGGCCGAGTTTGCCAACGTCGGCGACATGCTCAAGCGGATTTGGTCGTCGATCACCTCGCTCAAGGACCGGTTCACCTCGTTTGTCTCGACCGCCCTCCAGCGGGCGGTCGCCTTTATCCAGGGCGGCTTCAAGGCTGTCCTAGCCAAGTGCATCGAGTTTGTGCGGTACTTGGTCTGCACCAAGATCAAGGCCTTTCTCCCGCGCTCCATCCGCCGCGGCTTTGAGAACATCACCCACCAGCACTGGCCAGCTGTCAAGCGCGAGGCCATGTGCATCGCGCTCACAGGCAAGTCGCCCGAAAACGGTGGCGAGGGCGATCTGGCCGCAATCCAGGTTGACGACGAGCTCGGTGGCGAGGCGGGCGCCAATCCCGAGCGCGACGATGACAACGCCGAGCCGCCGAATGGTGGTGGCGGCGGTTGCTTTGGCATGTTTGGCGGCGGAGGACCGGGCATCACCGACGACGACGCCCATGAAGAAGGTCTCAAGGTCTTTGATCGCATATCCAAGGCAACCTCTGGTGTGGCCGGCCTTATTGATACTCTCAAGGAACTCCCCATTGTCGACGATGTCGTCGACACGTTCAGATCAACCGTCGGCCACCTCATTCCAGGTCTTGACGGCAGCTCGTCGTCATCAAGAGACTCGGACGTGTAGCTGGCGCTGGCCAGCCTTGGCGTGAGAAAAGCGGCTGCTGACGCGCAAAGCCATCGCCCGCAGCCGATGCGCACATCGCTCGATCTACCATCGCCACCACTGCTCCACGCCGCCGCCTGTGGCGGCACGTGTGATGTGATGGCTTGCGGCCAGGCTCGGTCCCTGACGGCGCCCCTGACTCGCCTGCGCAACAGCCGATCGATCCAATGAACAAGCAAGCGCATGCTTTCACCGACCATAGCGATGTATGAATAGCTCAGTGTGCAGCAGAGCTACTATGGTGGAAAGCAGGCGAGTCAACGACAGCAAAGTCATGCGCAACCGCATCTCCGAGTACCACAAGCATCAGCGGTCGCCAGGCGCACAGCCATCGCCACCGCTCTCTGACGCACGGCTGGACGATCGCAGTCGGCCGGAGCGAGCAGGATGAACGGCTCGTTGCTCTCTGCCATTCAAAAGGGCAAGAAGCTGAAGAAAGCAGAGACGAATGACAGATCCGCACCCAAGGGTATGTTTAGCTCAAGTGTGTCAAGGGGGGAGGGGTAGGGGGTAGGGGGAGGTGGCTATGGGCGTGTGTGGCCTCTGTCACTCTGCTCGGTCGACACCCTCGCCCATTCGGTCATTCGCCAAAAAAACAGCCATGGCCACCTGCATTGCTCCCCCATGGTCATGGCCATAGCCAAGCACAGGCCCCCATTTAGTCTCCCTTCTACTTCCTCCCCTTCCTTCCTCCTTGCCTCTCTCTCACTCTTTCTCTATCTCTCTCTCCCTCGCCCCCCTTCTGCCCCCCTTCGCCCCCTCGCCCCCCTCCCCCCCCCTCCCCCCCCTCCCCTTCTTCTCCCTTCTGTGAACTCACACACACACACACCCACACACTCTCTCTTCCAAACGTAGTTGGTGGTGGCGTAGTTGGTGGTGGCGGTGGTGGCGGTGGCGGTGGCGGTGGCGGTGGTGGTGGTGGTGGTGGTGGTGGTGGTGGTGGTCCGGCTCCTGGTGGTATCTTTGCTGGTGGCTTCCCTCAGCTGCGCTCGACCCGTGGTGGTGGTGGCGGTGGTCGTGGTCGTGGTGGTCCTCCCAGTCGAGGGGGACCTCCGGGTCGAGGTCGAGGTCGAGGTCGAGGTGGGGGTCTGCCTCCCCCACCAGGTCGCAGTGGCGGCGGGGCGCCTCCACCGCCGCCGCCCGGACGAGGTGGCAGCGGTGGGCCGCCACCTCCTCCTCCGTCGCGTGGTGGACGCAGTGGGCCTCCACCTCCTCCGTCGCGTGGTGGACGCAGTGGGCCGCCGCCACCG